TAGCTGCTACTGCTACTACTGCTGGTGTGGCACTTCAGAAATCTGTTCAAACACAAGACTTTATTGAACGTTGGCATGATGATTCTCATAATCTTTGGACTCATCAGGCTCAAATTAATTCACAATTACAAGAAGAAATTGTGGCTCTGGAAAGGGGGACTTCATTGGTTGGGAAGTAAGTTATTGGGATTGCAAAGAACTATAGAATATGTATGTGATTGGAATTCTTCTCAAATTCATATTACACCATACAAATATAATGATTCAAAATATGAATGGAAAAATATACAATTGTATATTCAAGGCAAAATGGATAATGTAACTTTCAATGAGATACAATTACAGGAAGAGATATATGAGATATTTTCAGAAGAAATATCTTCTATTGATATTTCTATTGATCAGGTAGCTACTACCTTAGTTCTATTAATCAAATAGCTACTACCTTAGTGAATACCCTTTCTGGTCTTTATCCTTGAGGATGGTGGCAAAGTTTGTCACATATTCTTGGATCTTCAGCTGTTACTTTTATAATACTTTTATTTTTACTGTTTATAGGATATCGGTGTGTTCTTGGAATCATATCTCGCCTTACTAATAAGCAATCTGCTGAAACATTAATTACGTCTTTGCATTCTCACAATGAGAAAATGAAGGCTGAAAATAATAATCACTTCCATTGTGAATGGTTTAGTGGGATTTATCATGCTTTTCCTTCTATGTTTATGAAATCCTTGCGCTACCTCCCCTAACGAAGGCCAGTAGTCAAAGATGGTAAGATCTGAGAGAAAGTTGACCTAAGACAAGGCGTAACTGATGGAAGCTGCATGCCAATGATGGGTAAGGCTTTGCTCTAGCAGAAGACAACCAAAGACAGACATGGTCCTTCTGTCCTGGATATAGCATGATCTGGGGTTATAAAAAGAAATAAAGAAAGGGGAATTGTGAAGGTCTGAGCTCTGATCTGAAATCAACTCAGAGCTGGAATGGGAGGCCTCAGTTCCCTGGGAACTTGGATGTTCTTCTTTTGCAGTTATTCCTATCATGAGACTGACTGTTCCTTGAATCCCATTAAATGTACCTCAGTAAGTTTGTATAACAAAGCTGCATAGCTAACAAAGTTATAAGTAAAGAACAGAATGTTTAATAAGCACAGAAGGACAGATATGATTCCAAAAAAGGCTGAGCCCTGGGAACACGGAGGTATTGTAAATATCATGAAGGTGCTGTAAACATCATGATGAGATAATTTGGCTTGAGAAGAATATTTTCTCTTCCTCTTGTTGTACTATAAATAAGGTGTTTCTTAGAATAAAATATGCATTTGTTAACACTCCACTGCATCCCCTGCATCCTGATTTCTCCTCCATCTATACCTCGGCATCCCCAAGCCCATCAGGCTTGAATTGTGGTCACTGAACTGTGACATATAACCTCTAACCCTAGAAATATCTGGTCTTCATTCACATATTACCCATTTCCTTATACTTCCTACAGTTTTACATAAATTAATCACACTCAGTTAACCTTACTCCTAAATATATTGTTATAGAGCTATATTGAATAATTTATGGCTTATAATCTTAATACTTAAAATTTAATACAGGTATTCATTGATTT